GGGGCTCCCCGGCTTGCCCGAGGCCCGGCAGGCAGGAGGCGGCGTTTCAGTCGCCGCCGCCGGCCCCGGCATCATGAACATAGACGTGGAGTTCCACATCCGGCACAACTACCCCTGGAGCAAGTTGCCAGCCAACGTGAGACAGGTACAGTCGGAGGCTCGGCCGGGGCCGGGACTGGTTCGGCCCCGCCTTGCCATCACCTGCTCGCCGATCCCGCCGGGCCCGAGCGGGCTCCTCTCGGCTGACTCCAGCCCCTTCCCTCTCCACAGTCTCGGAAAAATTGACCCCCAGCCCAGGGTTGGGGAGGGGACGGCTGTAAGCCACAGGGGCAGGAGGGCCGTTGCTAAATCGGGTGGAACGATGTTCATAGACTCGCCTGGCGCCTTTGCCCTTTCCATTCCTCCGGGCACCTGTGATGCAGAGATTTAAAACACGAACTTCAGGGTGGTGGGAAAGGAACGAGGAACAAATGAATCCAACATAGGGCCATAGCAGCTCCTAAGTACCTCTATTATATGTGTAGAGCAAAGGGAGGAAGAAATCCAGTGAGTTTGGGAGGATGCCTAGAGAAGACGTAGAAATTGAGCCTTGGAGGACGAATAAGGATTAGATGAGAGGAAGGTTTTTCCACGGAGAGAGAAAGTCATTTTAAAAAGCGTGGCCAAGTGAAAGAGCATGTCATGAGAGTATGGAGTGGCTGCGTATCACCAAAGTTTGGAGTTTGGTGTCTGCAGCAGTGTACTGGGAGGTGCAGTTTTGTGAGTGTGTGGGGGTGGTAGGAGGTGAGTCCGAAAAGTAGGCAAGGCCAGATTTGGAAGAGGTTTGCATGCTTTGTTTTGTTGGACTTTAGACAGGAGGGGTGTGTTGAAGATGTGTCAACAAGGAGGGACGTGAGGTTTTCTCGTGCCACTTTTATTCAGCTGGTTAATAGACACTGAGCACCTGCCAAGTGCTGTGCCTTGCCCTAGATGCAGGTACTTTGCAGCAATCAGCAAGACAGACTGCCTTGGAGCTTCTATTTTTGCAAAGAAAGAGAGTGAAAAAGTAAAAATACCACAGTGCAGGTGGTGTTACATCTTAAGAAGGGGGACCAGGGCCAGCAGGTGGCATAGTGGTTAAGGTGCTAGACTCCCACAAGACCGACCTCGGACCTGGAGCCTTGAAACTCATACCTGGCACTTGTTTGTGCATGCCCAAAATCCCCAAAGGAGAATAGAGTAGAAGGGATTGCAGCATGGCCACCCCCAGTCCAACCCCCTCACCCCCGCCCCCATGGGTGATTTCTTGCTTGCTTTCTCTCTCTCTGGTGAGCATGTGCACCCTATAGCAAAAATCTCTCTTTAAAAAAACTAAAACCAGGGAAAAGCAGCATAATGGCTATGTTGCTGGATTCCCATGTAGTTGACCATGGTTCGAGTCCCGAACCCGATGCCTTAAAACTCATGCCGGGCGCATGTGCGTGTGTGCCAAAGATCCCGAGAGGAGAATGGAGGAGAAGGGATTGTGGTGTGGCCATCCTCCCTGGGGGGTGATTTCTCGCTTTCTGTCTCTCCGTCTCTGTCTGTCTGGCAAGTGCACGTGCCCTATAGCAAAACCTCTTAAAAAAAAAAAAACTAAAAAAACAACTTAAGATGGTAGTGACAGGTGCTGTGTATGAGGGTGACTTCAACAAGTTTGTGGAAAATGGAATTAAAAGATTAAAAAATATAAGCTTTGCTTCTCAACAGAAGTTCCATCAAGTTTAAGACAGTTTTAAAACTATTGTAACCAGTCCATTTCTAAAGAACTGAGTCCTGGGAATTTAACCGCGTCAATGCAGCCTTATTTACACGGATACCCCTTAAAGACTTTTTTTTAAGATCAGGAAACAAAAAGAAGTGAAAAGAAACCAAATTAGGACTCTAAGGTGGATGCTTGATGATTTGCCATTGAAACTTTGGCAAAATTACTGTCCCATGAGAAGAGTGAACGGGAACATTGTCATGGTGGGGAAGGGCTCTCTGGTGAAGCTTCCCTTGGCATTTTTCTGCTAAAACTTCAGCTGTCTTTCTCAGGACACTGTCAGAATAAGCAGCTGTTATCATTCTTTGACCCTCCAGAAAGCCAATAAGCAAAATGCCTTGAGCATTCCCCCAAACTGTATCCCCGACCTTTGCTCTTCACCTGCCTGCTGGTGCTTTGACCGCTCACTTCCACCCGGTAGTAGTCATTGCTTTGTGCATTGATTGGCCATTTGCAGCTGATCTGGGTGCCACAGTTTCGGCACCCATAAAGCAGAAAGTTTACTTAACTTTAATTTTTAATTCAGGATTGTGGCAACTGAGCCAAGCGAGATGTCTTTGGTGTCGGCTATTGTGTCTGCTGTTCATTGTTGGTCTTCTTTGATTTGTGCAAGAGTAATTTTTTTTCTGTGCAGATTGATGTGGATGTTCTGCCCTTGCGGGTGTCATCTTTGATGTCTCATCCTTTCTTCAAATGAGCTATCAATTTGTAAACTGCTGATTTATTTGGGGGCATTGACCTTGAAGGCTTTTCCTAAAGCATCAGTGATTTTGTTGTACCATTATTCCACTCAGGCTTCAAATTGGGAGTTTGTTCTTCAATTTTAGCAGAATTCATGTTGCTCTGAGGGAGTCCCTTTTCAAACTGATGTCTTAATCTTCTTAGTGTCTCAGACTAGATATTGTTCAGAAATGTTTTAATGAGTTGGGAACCAGCAGTTAGCGTTATGGCTATGTCGCTGGACTACCGCGTAGTTGACCGCGGTTCGCGTCCCGGACCCGGTGGTTTAAAACTCAGTGCCGGGCGCATGTGCGTGCGTGCCCAAGATCCCAAGAGGAGAATGGAGGAGAAGGGATTGCGGCGTGGCCATCCCCCCAGGGGTGATTTCTCGCTTTCTGTCTCTACGTCTCTGGCGAGCGCATGCGCCCTATAGCAAATACCTCTCCAAAAACAAAAAAAGAAAGGGTAACCCCAAAGCTAAAAGGTCCCAGAAGGGGAAGACCCATTGCAGAAATGTTTTAACGAGTTAATAGGAGTTTATTCTGGTGCACAAAAATTTTGAAACCCACACATAGTTTTCCCGAAATACCCATTTTCCGTTAGCTAGCTTTATTTCTCTGTTCATAGATCTTCTGTTCCTTCCACTGTACATGGTTTGGAGTGAAATTCTGTTTTCCATCAGTGCTGGACAATGGTATTTTTGGAAAGTTTGAAATCGTGTAAGGATTACATATTGTGACTTACTTTGTTGTCATAAGGGCTTTAGTTCTAGGAAAGCGTAAGGTTCTAGTGATGTATCAGGTGGCAAAGAACATGCTTTCACTTTGAAAAGATGCCAAAACCCAATAAAGTGGAAAAAGACATTTCAGGAAGGTAGAATTCATGAGTTTCAATTGCCGCCCATGTGGCATTTATCTTAAGTTGGGAGAAGGAAGTGCTGAATCTGAAGAAAATTTTTTTAAAAGAATTATTTTATTTGACTTAATTAATTAATTTAAAACATTTGAGCAGAGAGGGACATAATGAAAGAGAAAGCGAGAAAGCAAGCCACCAGGTCTGGGACTTGAACCACACTCAGCCATGTGGGAGTCCAGCGCCCTTAATCACACCACCTGCTGACCCCAAATAATTTTCTTTTGGAGATCAGCAGATGGCTTAATGGTTATGTCCCTGAACTCCCATGATCTACTGTGGTTTGCGTACCAGACCCCACGGCTTTAAACTCATGCCAGGCACATGTGCTTGTGTGCGTGCCCAAGATCCCAGGAGGAGAAGGGATTGCTGCGTGGCCATCCCCCTGAGGGGTGTTTTCTCACTTTCTGTCTCTCTGTCTCTGTTTCTCTGGGGAGCTCACGTGCCCTAAAACAAAACAAGAAATCTCTCAAAAAAGTTCTTTGGTTAAGTTTGAAGGAGGGCTTTTGGTACACTTTGTTCTGGGTTTTGTAGCATATCTGAAAACAACTTTAAGACACAAGAACCTTTTCTTCTTTGTTTCCATTTTTCCTTTACTGTTCTTTTCATTGAGTCGTCAGAAAAGTCATGGTGCATTTTTGCATAGAAAAGCATAGAAAAATATGCCATGGCTTTTTCGACTACCCAATAAATGTAGCTCAGTGGCAAAAAGATATATGATTGTATTAAAAAAATTAGGTCCTAATGTGAAATTAAACTTCAGTGTGTGTGTTTAAGATCACTTAAAACATCAGCTGCTTTAGCTTAGGATAAGCCTGGGTTTTCGTAGTATTGCAGAACCCTCTGTACAGTTGACTGCTTTAGACTCACTGGTCTTACCACTGTGTCCCTGGATAAGGCTTCATCTCATTGTGGCAGCCTGTCTGGTCCGCTCTCAGAGTAAGACCCTCCCATCCATTCTTCACTGCTCTGGGGTGAGGTTTCTAAAGAGCAGACCCAATCCTGTCACTCACTAGGTGTCTCCTTTAGCTTGTGGTTTCTTTTAGATCCCGCTCTGATATTTATTCCTCCTGAAAGAGTTCCCTGACCTCCTAAATCTTAGAGTAGTTGCCCCTTGGATCATGTTGCCAGGCACTGTATTTCTCGCCCGGCAAAGCACTGAACCCACTGTGGTGCATTTTCTGGTTCCATTGCTTGTTATACTTTTGTAACCTGAGGACCTATCCCATAATTGGCTTTTGGTAAGTAGGTGCAGAATGAATGAATCATGGCATCAGCCCAGTAATTTTAAAAGTAGGGACTATTCCTTGTACAGAACGAATTTGTCTTCTGGATACTAAGTACTTTGATACAGTTTCCATTAAGTATTGATTGGTTTAATTTGGAAGATTCCTCTATTTCCCAGTTCTGAAAGATGGGGTGAGGGGATTCAAATTTAAAAAAAAATGCATTTCAAGTAACTTTTTTATAGGGACGAAATGAAATTTTTAATGTTCTAATTTTTTAATTAGATAATTAATGACTAATAATCTAGTCATGCTGGATTTAAAGAAACATTAAGATGTTGTAGATAGGGCCTTTATATGTGTGTGTGTGTGTGTGTGTGCGTGTGTATAAATAAAAAATAGATTTTAGCCATAGGGTATATACACTTGTTGGAGAGAGGCAGAGAAAGAGAGAGGGGAAAGTAAGAAATCACCCCCTGTGGTGTGGGTAGCCATACCACAGTGCCTTCTCCATTCTCCTTGGGATACTGGGCAAGCATGCACACACTCCTGGCATGATTTTCAAGCTACCAGCTCCGAAACTTGAACTGTGGTCGGCTATGTGGGAATCCTGCATCTCACCACACCACCTGCTCGCCCATGGTTTTTCTACAGTTTGCCAGTTATCTGATATTCATTTAAAACAGTTGATAGTTCATTCAAGGCAAATCTTAGAAGGTTCAGTATTATCGAAAAATGGGTCAATTGAAAAAAAAAGGTGTTTTATTTTTTTTTGGCAGGGGGTGGGGGTAACATGTTGCTGGGGTGTCCAGGTTGGGGGCTGGGGTCTGTAGGAGCAAAGGCTTTAGCACATCTTCGTGCTTTTAGAGTAACCTGCTGCACAACGGATGCTTTATAGAAATACCTATTCCTGCCACCCTTTATCTGGTATGGTTCCTTTAAAGTGCAGCCCAACTTCATTTATCAGACCTGATTAGTATTATATTTCTGCAGGGCCAGCATTGTCCCAGGGGAAAAGGACCCCTCCCCTTCCTTTCTCTCCTATGGTGGCACCAGTGTTTAAAATGTGAAGGGTGGGAGATTTGGAGATGGAGTGAGAGAGGAGCTTCAAGAATCTCTGAACAAAGCAATTTTATTTTACATACTTAACTGGTTAAGAATAGAATCAGTTTTTGATATGGCTTTTAGATTTTTGTGTACATATCAATATATGTGTGTTGAACGAATCTGGTCTAGTCATTACTTCATGTCTAGCACAGAAGCTTACATGTTAGATAGGTATGGTATTCTCTAATGAGGCATGTGAGTAGTCAATTTTTAAATCTTGTGTGAATGGCTCAATTTATAGTTTTTGTCCTGGAGCTACCAAGAATAGAGTTTGAAAGAGAAAAATGCTTGTAAGTTATGTCATGTGAAAATATACTTTGAAACAGAAGGGAAAAACCTCAAGTTTTGAAGTTTTAAGATTTTAGCAAAATTTTGTACTTGTTTTATGTTCCCTGAGAAAGAGACGTCTTGGCAGTAGAGCTAGAGAACACCTTTGTAAATTTGACAGCCTACTATTTTGAGACCCACAGTATCTTCAGTATTGACCCTAGCTTTGGTGCTACATAGAAGCTGGTAGTTTCTCTCCAGTTGACTCTATTTCCAGTCACTTACAATGTTAAAGTAGGTGAAAAGAGTGTAAGATATACATTGTGATAGTAGAGTGAGTTCTGGTTTAATCTGTGATAAATAAGCTAATCTAGATGCAGGAAGATCATTTTTTCCCCTCATATCCCATTTTTGGTAAAATCCTCCCCCTGGGGTTCTTGTTATGGGCCAGTTTATTTAGGGGGGAGCTTCCTCAGTGTTGTTGGGAAGATTGCCTAAAGATGTATGCATGGACATTTACATTGGCTTTAAAAATCTATGTGTAATAAGTATGACAAACTGAGTCCTCTGATCTTTCTGTCTTAACTCTTCTAAGATGTCTCATTTCACTTTAAGGTGTGTTGGGAAGACCATACATAGTAATTAGAAGGGGGGATAGCAGTCTCTCTTAAGTTTATGATCACACATTGAATGTCATGCTGTTTATAATCAGGCAGACTTGTTCTTTGCTTTCATGAGTACTTCAGCTTTGAACTTAAAATACCAAGGGGTGCATGGTTACAAAGTAGTTTTTTTTTTTTTAATCGGTTTATTTATTTATTTATTTTTTTTGAGAGTTTTTTTGCTATAGGGTATGTGCGCTCGCCACAGACAGAGAGAGACATAGAGACAGAAAGCGAGAAATCACCCCCCAGGGCGGATGGTCACGCTGCAATCCCTTCTCCTCCGTTCTCCTCTTGGGATCTTGGGCACGCATGCACATGCGCCCGGCGTGAGTTCTAAGCCACCGGGTCCGGGATGCGAACCGCGGTCGACTACGTGGGAATCCAGCGACATAGCCTTTACGCTAACTGCTGGTTCCCTTAATTGGTTTATTTTTTTTAATTGCCAGAGAGTACTTGCATTCATCAGAGACAGGGAGAAAGCGCTCAGCATGGGCTGTGGTCCCGCTGCCACCCTTTCTCCACCTTCTCAGAATTGGGACACATGCACACACATCCAGTTGTTTTTCAAGCCACCAGGGCTAGGGCTTGAACTATGGCTGCCCTTGTAGATCTGCCTCCCTTAACCATTAGGCTATGGGACCAGCCCTAGACAGTTTTTTTGCTTATTAAAAAATCTGTCAAGGGACTAGCTGATGGCATAATAGTTATGTTGCTGGACTCCCATGTAAGTCAGCTGGGATTCAAGTCCCAAACCCGGTGGCTTAAAACTCACATTGAGCACATGTGCGTGTGTACCCAAAATCATGAGAGGAAAAGGTGTTGCAGTGTGGCCATCTCCCCTTGGGGAGTGATTTCTCACTTTCTGTCTTTCTGTCTCTCCTGCATGCACATGCACCCTATAGCAAAAATCTTTCTCTAGAAAACAAAAACAAAAAAACTCTTGGAATTCAGAAAATGTCTAAATGCTTTGTAGCCATAAGGAAGGTGGCTTTTTAGGGAAAAAAAAAAAAAAAGAGTATTTATTTTTCCCATGAGAAAGAGAGACATTTAGACACTCCTAGGAGGTACCCTATGCCATGATCCACTCCCAGCCTCAGTGTGCCTTCTTCATGGTTGAAAACAGGCATGCCCAACATGCTTAGGGACCTTTCCAATGTGGATCCAGTTGTGTAACCACTGTACCTTCACCTGACCCAGGGAGATGGCATCTTTAAGAAGCAGTCTTAGGAACACTTGATATGTAAATATCTAGAAATCTCGGTCTTTAAAAATCATACCCCTCAGCTACAAATAATTATTAAAGACAGCTCTGTCTGTCCTTTGTTGCTGTTCTTAAATACAGTAAATAGTTAATAGTCGTGCAAGAAATTGTCTATCCATCCATTCAACACATACAAATTTGGAGGAATCAGGAAGGATTGCTTGCTTTCTTTTTTGGGGGAGGGGAGAGGGAGAGATTTTTGCTATATGACCTGTGGGCTGGCAGGAGAGACAGAAAGACACAGACGAAAAGTTACAAATCCTCCCCCCAGGGCGTGTGTGTGTGTGGGGGAAGGCCACCATACTGCAATCCCTTCTCTTCCACTTTCTTCTCGGGATTTTAGGCACACATGAACACATGCCTGGTTTGAGTTTTAAGCCACTGGGTTCGGGACTTGAGCCATAGTTGACTATGTGGCAGTCCAGCGGCATAACTGTTACGCCATCTGCTAATCCTAGGAAGAAAATCCTTCTAGGTAGAACTTAGCTCTTTGTTAAGTGAAGTTATGCTCTCATGCTGTTCTTTTGATATTAAGTACGTTAGATAATTTCAGTAAGTCCTTTTAGAAAGGCAGACTGAATGGACAGTGAATTTTTGTTCTAATATTGTAATAGGAAAGTTAGTGTAATAACATTTAAGAAAATGTTCTTAAGTCATTTCTGCAATTTGAGATGTCAGGGATCTTAGTTTTGAAATTTTGTGGGGGGAAAATTTGTTAAGTTTGGAAATGATTTTAAATCTATCTAAAATTTTTTTTTAGAGTCTTGGAAATTCCCAGAGAGAATATGAAAAGCAGGTGGTCCTGTACAGTATTCGTAATCAGTTACGGTATAGAAATAACTTAGGTAAGTAGAGACATTTTATATCGGGATAGAAGTGACTTGCCAATTCATCATTTTCATAATTTTGTCTTTTGTTTTTTTAATTGAAGGTTTTTGCCATAGGGTGTGTGTGTTCACTGGTGAGGAGAGAGAGAGAAGTAAGAAGGAATATGAGAAATCATCCAGGGAGGATGACCATGCTGCAATCCAGTCTTGGGATTTTGAGCTTGCACGCACATGTATCTGATGTGATTTCTAAGTCGCTGAGTCCAGGACTCAAATCATGGCCAGCCATGTGGGAGTCCAGCACTTTAACCACTTCACTCCCGGCTGGTTCCCATAATTTTATCTTTTTAATACATATTTCATAGTACTGAAATTATTCTATGCATAGACTAAAACTCTAAACTTGTTCATTTCATGTAAAAATTTGTATTAGCAAATAGATTTTTCTTTCAAATTCTGATACATTATCACATTACCTAAAGTGTATTAATTCAGATGTCCTCTTTTTGCCTGTGATGAGAAAATACATTAGAAACGAAAAAGTATATTGGTTCTTAATCATTTTGACTTTAAGTTTTGTCTTTGTCTCCAAATAATAAAACTTCAGTACAAACTCCTGTAATAATTGGAACAAGTTTTAAACAGTTAGTTCCAGGATTTTCTTACATTTTTTTTTTAAATGTTTGATTCTTGTCAGATTCCTTTGGTTTTGTTCTGTTCTGCTAGTCTTTCCCTCCTATGTGTTTTTCTTATAAACTTATTATTTTCAGTTTTCTACATAAATGGTTTCCAGGGAACTCAGGAAAACGTTCTACTTTTTTGTTTTGTTTTGCTTAAGAGAGAGATTTTTGCTATAGGGCACATGCACTCCCCAGAAAAACAGAAAGTGAGAAATCACCCCCTGGGGGGATGGCCACACCTCAGTCCCTTTTCCTCCATTCTCATCTTAAGATTTTGGGCATGCACACACACATGCTCAGTGTGAGTTTTAAGTTGCCGAATCTGGGACTTGAGTTGTAGTTGACTACATGGGAGTCCAGCAACATAACCATTATACCATCTGCTGGCTGAGGCTTTTTACATTAAAAAAAAAAAAAAATTTTTTTAAATTTAAAAAAATCCCAGCAAGTATTGGGTCACTGGAAAAATCATGATGTATTTTTCTATGCGAAAATGGGCCATGACTTTTCCAGTGACCCAGTAATTTAAAAACATACTTGACTTCATTGAAAAGCAACATTCAGTTTCACTGTCTTCTAAAGGGATTTAATGAATCATAGCCTAAGTTTTATACCTTTTTGGGGTCATTGTGGTGGTTCCATGCTTGTTTTCTGATTTGTAAGATTTATTTCTCTACTTACGTGTTGTATTACATATTTTACTTATATACTCTGAAGTCTGTTTCTTATGGTGTAATGATTTGTTCCAAGTTGGAAATTTTATATGTCTTCTTCCAATTTATATCCTGTTCTTTTTAAATTAATATTGGTTCATGAAGTATTTCTTACTGTATTTATGGTTGATATGTAGCTGAAAAAAAAATTAGAATTTCTCTTTCTCCAGTGAAACATGTCAAGAAAGATGAACGCAGATACTATGAGGAGCTGCTGAAGTACAGTCGAGATCATCTCATGCTGTACCCTTACCATTTATCGGATATCATGGTGAAGGGACTGAGGATAACACCATTTTCCTATTATACTGGGATTATGGAGGTGAGTGTAGGTGAATCATTAGGGATGGGGTGGGACTACATGACAGGACACTTTGCCAGATCTGCAGCTCTGGACATTGTTTCTGAGATTACAGCATGAAAAGGACCATTGGTTTCTAGGTAACTGTTTGAGCCACACTATACAAGTAGTTGTCCTCATTGATGTTTTGATGTTTTGATATCAGAACTATATTTGTTTCTATTTTGCATTCTTATTGACCCTTTATGTAGCATTAATTAGTCACTTACGTTAGCACAATCTTTCTAAAGTTTATTACTTTAGTACAATCAAAGTGGAAAATGTGGGTGACAGAACTGAACATTAAACTCAGAGAAATTGAATTATTTAACTGTTTACTATTGGTATAAAGAATAAATGATGACATAGACCTAACATATAATATACATGTCAGAAAAAGTATCACTATTCTTGGCTGTTAATATCTTTCTGTAATTAGGAGCTTTTAGTTGTTAGCCTTTCTCCAAAAGCAGTGTTTGGGCTTGTTCTGAATAGCTTTAATGCTAGCTATCTATTGTTCTTAAGTGAGTGTTCTGTAAAGATGTGTAGTATTTATCTAGTATTTGTTTGCTACTTGATTATGGTTGAGTGTTACTATTTTGGGCTCACTACCCATTTGCAGAGCAGAGAAAAACCTAGAAGTAGGTAGGAACCTGCAGGAATGGTGGGGCTAGTTCCCTTTATGATGTGCCATCCTTTGCTTTGAGGTCCCTTTGCTTAGCTCCGAGAGCCCCTTCTCTGCAGGTGTGTCAGCTCCATGCTTCCCATAGCCCTCTTGGAGGAGATACTAGAGTAAAGCTTGAGGGTTGATAGCCTGTGTAGCATATTGAGGAGCCAGGGTAGCATGATGAAGGTGGAGCTAGTCAGTAAGTACAGTAGTTATTGCTGCTTTTTGGTTATTTTTCTGGTGTCATCTATAAGGTTTAGGAGATAAAAATAGACAATTTTTGTCCTATTTATCAGCTTTCATTTCATTTACATCTATGTACTTGCTGCTCTCTGCTTTCTGTTCTTACACCATTAGGATCTTATCCCCACAGCAAATAGTTGGTTTATTATTGGAGAAGCAGATTATGATTGGAGAGAAGCTGATTATGATTATGATTGGAAAAAGCTGACCACTGAGTCTAACTGCTACTAATAGAGACTCATAGGAGCACAGACCACTAAGGGATTAGACTCTTTGCCGGGAGTGCATGTCTTGGGTGCGTGTTGATGGAGCTGTGACACGTTATGTGGCCTTTCCTCAGAGTAGGCATCTAGGACCAGGTATGAAGTATGGAGAGGCAGACACTCTACGCTCTTTTCTTGCCTAGATTTTGCAGGGCTGAGATTACAGGGCAGCTGTTTGGGACTCAGAGAGCGTGTTGAGAGAAACCCAGACCTGTATGTCTGCTCTTTAATTACTAGGTTGGGATCTTGTGGTAAGTGCACAGTGAGACATGTATGCTCTAGATTGTTAAACTATGACTTCCTTGCTTGCTGAAATGATTATTATTCCTCTGTAATATTATTTATACACATGTTTTTTTTTAATCTAAGTAAATTTTGCATTTCAAATTATAATTTTTTTTCTTTCTGAAAGGACATCATGAACAGTGAGAAAAGTTATGATTCATTGCCCAATTTCACGGCTGCTGACTGTAAGTATTTAATTATATGGAAGTAAGCAGAAAGTGTTTAGGTTCTGTCTCTGCACATGCATGCTGTTTGTCAATATTGTGATGTGTGTTTTTTAACCTGAAATACATGAAAAACAATGGCAAGCAACATTATTAATGGGAATTTTATTGGATGATACAAGTCAGATGTGACTTTGTCTAAATGTTTAAGAGAGGAATATTTGGAGTGGCAGAATCAGAAAAATAGGACTAGTCTACATATTTCTAGAGAATGAAGTTCTTTCTGATGGGTGGGTTGTAAGGAAGAAAATGTGTGCACAGTATTTTTGTAGCGCGAAACATGGGTTTTACTGGCAAATTGCTGGTGTTTTCCTATGCTCATTTTAATGAAGTATGTGTTTGAAATGTGTGATAGTCCTGTTGAATAAGAAGCTTTTGCTGATAAGTACATTTTGACTTCTTGAAATTGGGAGGACTTCTGCTTTTGAAAAATGTTCTTATGTCAGCATTGTTTAAAGGGCCATCTAGCCCAAGGGTTAGTTTTCTTTTAAAAATTTTTTTGAAGAATTCCTTTTAATTTGATATTGATGTTCCATATTGATCAGTAATTAAAAGATGAAGATGAGCTGTGGGTTTTTTCTAAAATCACTTGAGTGTATTGACAGTTCCAGATGTATTAAATGTTTTTAAAGGAAAGACTCTTTTTTTAGGTCTCAGGCTTCTCGGCATAGGAAGAAACCAGTACATTGATCTTATGAATCAGTGTAGATCATCGAAAGTAAGTCATTTCCAATCTTGTATTTTCATCTGGCTTCCTTATCACACAGTTTGATTAGTCTTTCTTTTTCCTTTTAGATTTTTGTCATAGGTTGTGTGTGCTTGCCAGAGAGAGACAGAAAGTGAGAAATCACCCTCCCTACCCCTGGGAATGGCCCTGCTTTCTCTTCCATTTTCCTCTCCAGATTTTACGCACTCATTATATGCACCTGGCATGTTTTTCTTTTCAAGCCATCAAGGTCCAGAACTTGATCCACAGAGTCACTTATGTGGGATCCAGCCTCTTAACCACCATGCCACCTGCTGGCCCTGATTAGTCTTTTTTTAAGTGCCAAAACCTACTTACTGCAGAAATGATACAAAAAGACCTTGACCAACAGATGGCGTAGTGACTACATCACTGAACTCCCACTTGGTTGATCACAATTTGAGTCCTGGACCCAGTGACTTGGAAATCATACCAAGAGACCAGCAGGTGGCGGGATAGTTATGTTGTTGGACCGCATGGTTTGAGTCCTGGACCTGGGGCACTTAAAACTTATGTTGGGCGCGTGTGCGTGCATGCCCAAAACCTGAGGATGAGAATGGAGGAGAGGGGATCGAGGCGTGGCCACACACACCACCCCCACACTTTCCCTGTCTCTTGTCTGTCTCTTTCTTGCTCTGGCGAGTGCATGTACCCTGTAACAAAAGCCTTTTTAAAACAAAGCAAACCAAAAAAAGAACTCATCAATTATTTTTATAGGTTAACTTATTCTTGAATTTAGAAGTATTTAAGGCATTTAAATATTTAAGACTTTTTAAGGTTTATTTTGTCCTGTTAGCCTTTTACTTGCTTATTCTTCACCCAAAGTTCACTTAATGGATGAAACACATTTTGATTATTTTGATTACACTTGTACACACATTTTTCAAATGCATTTTTACCTCTTAGGTTTTGTTTGAGTTTCTGAATTTAAGATCCAGATTTAATGATTGCTGATTTATAATAATTTATTTTGACATAATTTAAGAATGACTTTCTTCCTTTAATATACCTAGAATGCTTAAGATTTTGAAAACATGAGTGTGAAATAAAGTATTTAGCCTGGTAAAAACCATTCTTATCATATGATTAGTAAAAGAAGAAACTGCTGATTTTAGGTTGACACAATTTTTCAAATGCTTGTACCATTGCAGAAGTTTTTCAGGAGGAAAACAGCCCGTGATCTTCTACCAGTAAAGCCGGTGGAGATTGCCATAGAGGCATGGTGGGTGGTGCAGGCTGGATATATCACAGAGGATGACATCAAGGTAGAACTCTTTAAAAGTTAAATCTATCATTTTGATTTTTAATTTTATTTCATAATTTTTAATTATATTTCTATAATTTTTAAAAATATTCCTGAAGAATATTGCATTTAAATTCAAGATTTGGCATGACCTTAGTAGGCTAGATCATTGGTTACTTTCTAAGATCGTCTTCAATGATGAGGTAGTCTAGACTTGGTTCTGACACAGTAATCTGGGTGTTAACTAGGAAGGAGTTTCATATAAGGTGATACATGATGCTCTAGTCGATCAACGACAGTAAGATTTATAGGCTAACACTTTTGAACATCTGCTGTGTGCTAGATGCTAGGCACTATTGCAAATAGATTTTATGTTATCTAACTTAATTCTGTGACAATCTCAGAATTATATATTGTTTGCACCCTCTTTTTAAAGATGAGGGAAGTGAGACTATTTTGAGTCATAGTGGCAGTAGGGACCCAGAATTTCCATCCAGGCAGTTTGCTATGAAACCTATGCTCTTAATCGCTGATCTGAATGGCTGTGCAGAAGTAATAGGTGCTTTGATGAGGTGAGGTTGTCAAGATTGAGGGAAATGTTATTCCCACTGGCCAGACCACATTTGATAGACACTTTGTATGTACTAGAAGGGATATTGATTTAGCAGAAAGGCATGGGGTGATGAGGAACCCCAGAGACCAGGTCATACGTATGCATAGTAGAAGGATGTAGGAGAATACATGCACTTCTTTTAGCCTACATGCAATTTTTCTCCAGGGGACGTACTACCTCCAATGAGTGGAAGGCTTAGAAATTTTTCCTCTGTTTAAGTATTTGCTAATGTAGCTGTGAAATTGTGTCACAGCAAGTGAACCTGTTGTCACTGCTAATGGTCTTGTAGAATTGGAGTAAACTTGTGATTTGAAAGATTTAGAATCAGCAAATCACTCTGATCCAACCCAGAGAGGAGTGGATATTTGCATTTATCAGTGGACACTATTACTAATCAGTTTAAGGGTAGGAATGTGTGATACCTTTCCTCACCCGTCAGAATGGTCATGGCTGATACTCCTATAACAAAAGACAAATTAACAAGAAAACCTGAAGAATTTATTCAAAGTTCTGTGTGGTATGAGAGCCAATGAAGAACCAAAGACCCAGGGAAAATTGCATTTTCATGCTTTAATGTGATGGACAACCATGTGGAAGTATAATTAGGCAGAAAGGGTATGCTCTAACTCATAATTAACAGACTGAGCAGGGAAACCCAGCAAGACCTTTTGTTCAGAATCATCTTGGCCTCCCTGTGCAGTGTATTTTCCTCCCAGATATGGGTTGGAACTTCTCTAGAATGAGGGTGGGTTGGAAGATTTCTTTATAACCAGCTTTAACACAGGAAAGTGGGAGAAGGTTAAAGTAGTATTTCTAGATTTTGGGACATGGAGAATGGAGGAGAAGGGGTTACAGTGTGGCCATTCCCCCTGGGGGGGTGATTTCTCACTTTCTGTCTCTCTCTCTTTTTCTGTCTTTTTGATGAGTGCACATGCCCTATAACAAAAACCTCTAAAATATATATATTTCTAGATATTATGGTTGGCTTTGGGCGACAGGGGCTCTAGTTTACATGATTCCTATGGGGGAACATAAATTCTAGCTTCTGTGGCCTGCCTTAGGAGAGAAAAGGGAACAGGAAAAGGCCAGAAAGATCTTACTTCCAACCCTCTTCCCTTGAGTTTAAAGTATCCAGCAGGCCAAGGCACTATACTTCAGGGTATCATTTTTCAAAGCCCTCAGAACCAGCTGCTGTTGGTACTTATAGTGATTTTGTTTTCAGAGTTCTGTTGGTAGCATATTGTGGTATCTTAAATGATGTATGGTTATGTGCATAGGTTTTCTTTCTTTTTTGATTACTAGAGTGAAGAATGAAAAAAATGTAATTCATTGAATTAATGACATGATCATTGGTTTCAACGTGAATAGATTGCAGGAAATTTATGAGTTAGTTAATTTGGACAGAACTTAATCGAAATGTTTTGCTTTTTTTAGATATGCACTTTGACAGAGAAATGCACTATTGATAAGATCATCGATTCAGGACCTCAGCTTTCCGGATCACTAGATTACAATGTAGTACATAGTAAGTGGTTAGTAGAAATGGTCTTTTGTCAACATAAAAGCTTGTTTTGAACCTACAATAATAATAGCAGTTACTTATCAATTAAGTTCAAATATTAGTTTCATTTGGTAAGTCATGGTGTTGTTTGAAATGTGACCTTGGTCTGTTGTTTTCCAGTATGGCTATAATTACACTACACATCTATACTGGTCTGTTGTTTTCCAGTATGGCTATAATTAGTCATATACACTACACATCTATACAAATGGATGGTAAAAAAAATATTGTGGTTTCGAGCCTTTGTAGGAAACCAGGATTTAAAAAGTTTAAAGTGGGCCACCTGGTGGCATGGTGGTTAGCATGCATGTGTGCATGCATGACCAAATCCCAAAAGCAGAAATGGAGAAGGGATTTTGTTGTGGCCATCTTTCCTTGGAGGTGCTTTCTCAGTTTTTCTCTGTGTCTCTGTCTCTGGAGGGCACACGTACCTTGTAGCAAGAAAACATTTTTTAAAAAATATAATTCTTTTATTTATTTTTTCTTCATATAGCATACAGTTGTAAAACTCTTCATAGAAAACCAGGAATCGCTTGTGGTTTTTTTCTTTCTTTCTTCTTTTATTTTTAAAATTTTATTACTGTTGTGTAGAGTTCCATTTAAAGCAAGGTATTTTTGCTTCTCTAGGTTTATATAACAAAGGATTTATTTATCTGGATGTACCAATATCCGATGACAGTTGTATAGCAGGTAAGTTGGTACTAACATTTTTCAGTGTTTTTTGAATGGTTAATAAGTGCTGAATACTGCATATTACCCTTATAAGTTAGACACTAGTCACTCTAGATTTTTCAAAGAAAAACATTTCTTCTTCATAACATTGGAACACATTGCAATGGTTTTACTTACTTAAATTCTTTAGTTTCTTTTCTTTTTTTTTTTTTGGTATGAGTACTATATAAAATAGTAGAAGTCTAAGGTAAATGTCTCATAATTCCAAAGCAAATCAGTATTTTAATATTCATGTCACCTTTTAGTCCTTGTTCTACATATGGGAGTTTTTCAATATATTCAGTAATGTTATAAATGATATGTTCTACATTGTTGCTTAACATACTTATGACTTTTTTTTTAAATGGTCTTTTTGTCTTTATTTCATTTTCCCTTCCTCCTTCACTCACTTCCCCAAGCTAAAACAATATTAAGAATCTTCTAAACGTTATGGATGCATCAGTTTGTAAACCATTCGCTGTTGTTGGTTATTTAGGTTATTTACAGTTATTTTATTTATTTTTTTGCTATTGCAATGCTGACAAGGTTAATACCTTTGAATGTAGAGTGGTGCTGTTTTCTGTAGGTGAGCTTTCTTACCAATTTGTAGAAGCACTTATTATGGATATTCAGGTTATGTGTTACAAGTGTGTTTTGTAGCATATATCTTTTAGCTCTTGTTTTTGTTTCTGATATCTTTGCCATACTAAGATATATTTTTGTGCACCTTAAACTGAATACAAAATACCAAAGAAATCAAATACAAATGCCAAAAATTCAAGAAAATGACCTTATCATAACAGATTAGTGATAACTGTGCTTGTTACAGAAATACTCCCTCATATCAGTGTTGAAGTTTGATAGATAGTCCTGTTCTAGTGTGTTCTGAACATTGCAGTAGATGTGTTTTTGATTCTTTAATGTATCTTGAGCCATGTACGTGCATAAATTCTGTCTTAAGCTTAGGCAGCTAAAAAAGTAAATACTAATGCAAGGTGGTGTAATTGGTACTATAACAAATAAAAATTTGAAAGGTTTTGACAAGGAAATAGTTTCTGAAAGACAGATGTTGTAATGATTTCCTGTCACAGTTGGAAAATGTTGGAATGTTATTCCCTCCTCTCATCTGCTAAATTGGTGTAGACTCATTTGCAATCCACCTAAAACATTGGTCCTTGACCAGCTTGTCACAGTCCATTTTGAGTGATAGTTTGAACACTGACTCACATTAGCACTAAGTTCATTTCAAAAAGCTGCCAGAGAAGGGCCCAGTGGACGTCTGCTCCATGACTCAGGTGTGTCCTACCACACTTTGTTTAATACCTGGTGATTTGTGGGGTACAGGCAGACCTCTGGAATCGGAATGGGTAAATTCTCCTTATTTGTCACCATGTTACCTCTCTGACTGCCCTCCTAGTTGGAATAAAGCAATGAAAAGAAAGTAGTTTGACAACACAGAAGCAATCAAATTTAGTACAAAGTGTACCTGAAGGTGATTTTCAGAGAGAATTTTTCAGATATGTTTTGACAAAAGACAAGCACCGCTATGGGTTGTGGAGCAAATATATAAGGAAGAGAGGAACAATTTGAAGGGAATAATCACTTAAGGCTCTACTGTTAAATAAAATATCTCCATCATTCATCATATTTGCTGATTGCATATTTATATATTTCTAGATTCTATTATACTTGAATAGAATGCTTCTATATAATAGTCTACAACTTCATGAAAATTTTTGTCATAAATTTCAAATCCATAGTCTATTTGGAACTTATTTTTGTAATTGATGTGAAATAAAGATCCAACTTGGTTTTCTTTTGCTTAGATACCAATAGCGTATCGATAAATGATAGCACTGTTTTCTTAGTAAGTCATTCTCTGGGAGCAGTAAGCAGTCAGTGATTCCACAGATGTTGAGTAACTTAGTATTAGTTATGGCTGTTTTCCTTGCCTCCTTTTTTATTTTTCTAAGAGAGATTTTTGCTATTAGGCACATACATGTGCTAGAGACAGAGAAAAAAAGAGACAGAAAGCGAGAAATTACTTCCCTAGTGGGGATGGCCACACCACAGTCCCTTCTCCTCCATTCTCCTCTCAGGATTTTTGGCATGCGCGCACATGTGCCTGGTATGAGTTTGAAGCTGCTGGGTTTAGGACTTTAACTGTGGTGGACCATGTGGGAGTCCTGCGATATAACCTGTCAGTTATTCTACCTGTCAGTCCCTCCTTGGCTTCTTCTTAAGAATAACTTTCTTAGCTATCTGAGACATTTTTTATTGATATCATTGTCCCTTGGAATCTGTGCAGGTTTGATTCCAGGAGTCCCTGCTATTACCATAATCCGTAGCTGCTCAAAGCCTTAACAGTATTTATTAAGATTTTTTTTTTTGGGGGGGAGAGGTTTTTGCTATAGGGTGTGTGTGCTCACCAGAAAGACAGAAACAGAGAGACAGAAAGCGAGAAATAACCCCCAAGGGGGAGGGCCATGCGGCAATCCCTTCTCCTCCATTCTCCTTTCGTGATCTTGGGCACGCACCCACACATGCCTGGCGTAATTTAAGCCACTGGATCCGGGACTGGAACCATGGTCGACTACATGGGAGTTCAGTGACATAGCCATTATGCCATCTGCTGGTCCCTATTAAGATGTTTTGAGAAGATAGCAAATATGACACAAAATTCTAAGTCTACAAAAGGGTATAAAAGCATCTGCTTCCCACTCCTGTGCCTGACTACCTGATTTCTCTCTCCGAGCCTCTGTTAAGTTTTTGTGTGTCCTAGAAATAGATCTGTGTACATAGGGATGTGTGTGTATGTGTCCCTTTTTTTGTATAGTTTTACTTTTACCCGGATGTACTGTAGTTCATACCTTTTTAACTTACTGTATATTAGGGAATATTAGTGTAGAAAAATAATTAATGGTGTCAAATACAGGATTTCTAAAGTATTTCTAAATAGAAACTGCTGATTCATAAAAGTATCTAGATGACTGGAAATATAGGTAGCACTAAATTAGCAAATAACATAAATAACCCACAGTGAAATGTACATTATGGTCTTTTGTGCTGTCCTAATTTTGACCACTTGAATTTTGTCTTATTTTTCTCCATTAGGAATAATTTATTTTTTTGTAAGTAGATGATAGGGTCAGAGGACACAGAAGTTCCCCAGTGCTGTTCTGGTTTAGGCAGTAGGCACTACTCTTTCCGAGGATATTTTTGAGGGAAGTTTACACAAACACAGGAAGGTGGCAGAGGAAAGCATAATGCTTCTTTATTGTCAGGGCAGAACTCTAGTGAATTGGATCAGGACATTTGGACCAATTAGACAGAAATGGTATGAAAAAATGTTCATATAGAGTTAAAGAAGGTCTTGATCCTCTAGCCATGGAGGTGGATACAGAATAGGACCCCACAGAGAAATTGCATCAGCAACTGCTAGTAAACTTGGCATTCATACAGAAAAAATTCCCCCTTCTCATGTGCGAGTTGGGGTGATGGCGAGAAATACAGCCAGTAATTTCCATTCTCTTGGTTTTTGTGTAGCGTAGCAGTTCTTTCTTTCAGGTCTTTTTCTTCCTGTTTTGCCCAGTCATCCCTGCTGCCTATGATGCATGAAAGCCACGTGCATCAGAAGCCCTTAACAGCCGGACTCTTTCTGATCAACCACCGTTCCCTTGCCTTTCCACCATGTCCATGTCCTTCGGCGCCTCTGCCTCAGTAACTGACTTCGCAGTCCACCTTCAGAGTCCTCTCTGTAGATGCCGTTGTACATTCCCTTCACTTTGGGGGGTTAGAGAACATGATAGTGGAGTGGGTAAAATCAGTCAAAAGCTGTATTCAGTCCTTAGGTTAGAGGTTTCTCATTTTAATTAGTTCAATTATATTTTCTCATTTTATCAAATCTAACCACTGAGAGAGTCTGTTTTGTTTATTTTAGTTCCTCCTCTTGAAGGTTTTGTAATGAATCGAGTACAAGGTGATTATTTTGAAACTCTGCTCTATAAGATATTTGTTTCTATAGATGAGCACACTAATGTTGCAGAGGTAAGTGTCGCAACATCTTATGAAAAAAAACAATCTCCAGATTATAAAATAAGTTTTTGTAAAGTAAGTAAAATTATTTAATGATTTTGTTAAAATGTTTTTAAAAACCTGGGACCAGCAATTAGCGCAATGGCTATGTCGCTGGACTCCCATGTAGTCGACCGTAGTTCGTGTCCTGGACCCTGTGGCTTAAAACTCAGTCCGGGCGCGTGTGCATGCGTGTGTGCCCAAGATCCCGAGAGGAGAATGGAGGAGAAGGGATTGCGGCGTGGCCATCCCTCGGGGGCTGATTTCTTGCTTTCTGTCTCTCTGTCTCTGTCTGTCTGTCTGGCTAGTGCACGCACCCTATAGCAAAAACCTCTCAAAAAAAAAAAAATCTGTACATGGAGAGGTCATAGACCTTTAGATAGACATTTAAGCGAATGCTTACTGTCATTATTTTAAAATTAATTCTTGCATATATATGTTAAAACTTTTAAAAATAATTCTGTAATTTGACTTTAATTTTAATGGCAGTAACTCCTTACATGACTCTTAAGGCTTGTAGACTGTTTTGATCTGTGTAGGAATATTTTTATTTCAGATGAGCCAAAATTTAAGAGTAAGGAATCTTAAATTATTAGGTCATTGGCAAAGTCATGAAGTATTTTTCTTTTTCTTTTTTTTGGAGAGATTTTTGGTAGAGGGCACATGTGCTCACCAGAAAGAGAGACAGAAAGCGAGAAATCACCCCTTGAGGGGATGGCCATGCTGCAATCCCCTCTCCTCCTTTCTATTGAGATCTTGGTCATGCACGCATATGCGCCCGGCGTGAGTTTGAACCACCGGATCCGGGACTCGAACCACAGTGGACTATATAGGAGTCGAGTGACATAGCCATTATGCCATCTGCTGGTCCCATGATGTATTTTTCTATGTTATTCTATGCAAAAATGTATCATGAATTTCCCAACAGCTCAATATTGTGATCTCTACCTGGATTGGTAGTAGTCTAAACATCTTAGAGATAAACTGAAAAAAGAAAGTCCTGAATTAAAAATTTACTTAGTCTTCTAATTACTTATAACTTGAGATTTTGCTGATCATTACATTTATCTGATACAATTACATAGTGTGCTAATAGTTCTGAAAATATAAAAATAATTAAAAATTTTTATTTTCCAGCTTGCAAATGTTCTCGAGATAGATTTATCTCTGGTGAAGGTATGTTCTTGTACTCATTTTATTTTCACTTGTAATGTGAATGCTGAATGGATTTTATTAGTTTTTTGGTTTGTTTTAGTTTTTTAACTTGCCAGAGGATGTGTATGCTTGCCAAAGAGAGAGATTGAGAGGGAGAGCAAGAAAGCATCTCCCATGGAAGATGGTCACATCCCAGTCCCTTAACCTCCGTCTCTCACTCTTTTTGGGATTTTGGGCACTCATGCCTGTGTACCCAGTGTGTTTCTCAAGCTCTGGGTCTAGTACTTGAACCACACAATTGACTATGTGGAATCTAGCCACCTTACTACCATGCTACCAGCTGGCTCTGATTTTACTAGTTTTTTGCTTTGATAAGCTGTGGAGAAACAGCATAGTGATGAGTGCTTGCAAAGACAGAAGAGGGCAAGGTAAGGAGCCCTGAATCAGTTTCCACCATGCGGAATGAAAGCGAGCACTCCTCCTCCTCTCTATAACAGGAAGCAGCCTGGTCAGTGTCTTCTAATGTGGTCAGTTAAAGCAACAACAACTGCTTCACTGGAGATCTAGGGAGGGCAAGGCCAGTGAGTTGAAAGTATTCTTTCCCATATACGTATGAAGGCCTCAAGGGAAGAAAAGGCCTACTGAAAGGTGCTTGTTCTAGTTACAGATAGAAGTGTTTGAAAACTACTGAAGTATAGCCCATTGCAGTATTTTTTTTTCTCTACAAATATTCTGATGTCTATTTCACATGCTATTTTTCTTCATATTCCTTTTAGAATGCTGTTTCAATGTATTGCCGATTGGGCTTTGCCCATAAGAAGGGACAAGTAATAAATTTGGATCAACTTCATTCATCCTGGAAGAATGTTCCATCTGTAAACAGATTAAAGTAACTCAGTTATTCAGTATGGGGTATTAAGAGTTTCTTTTTGAACAAAACATTTAATTTCACATACAAAATTTTTTATCGATCTGTCAGGTGAATTAAGCCCTAGGTATGCGTGATTTTTAATCTTGTGTGTGGTAGATCCTTTTTAGAATCTGATGAAAACTAAGAAGCCTATCCCAGAAAAAAGCACATATAATATTTTACATAGAATTTTGAAGAGTTCTTAAGTTCCTTTAGACTTTTTCATGGGACTTAGTTAAGAACCCTTGTGGTGTGATATGTGGACAGAGCATTTTTAGACTGTGTCTCAGTTTTGGCCTTGAATATAAGACTTGGTTTAGAAAAATTATTCATAGTTTGAATACTGACTCCAATAGATACTTTCATGTAAGACCATTTATATGATTTTAAAAAGTAAATTAATGTATTCTTCTTTGAAAGGAGTACTTTAGATCCACAGAAGATGCTCCTATCGTGGGATGGTGGGGAAAGCAGGAGTCCCGTACAGGAAGCTTCATCAGCTACTGACACCGACACAAATAGTCAGGAAGACCCAGGTTAGCAGTAACTTGCTTTACTACCCTTGATCTTAGCCAAAAGGCAGAGAAACATTTTAATTTAATCTTTCTGTAGGCATAGTGTGTTTTAAAGATACACTCTTAGCGATTATAGTTCTGCCTTAGGTTTGAGTCATTGGATACACAGTCTTTGAGTACTTACCCATATTTTGGGCACTGTGGTAAATCTTAAGAGGGTATAAACAATATGATACCTTTCCTCAAAGAGTTAAGTCTAGGGAGAGAGAAGGAAGTGTAATCCCCAAAACTACAGCCAATGTGAGCACTAGTTATGGTGGTTGTGAGATGCAAAGAGCTAGAGGTCTTTTACAGTCTAGAGAGGTTTGGGAAGCCTTCACTTTGGCCTAAAAATGAGTACGAGCTGGTCAGCTGACTGGTGAAGAAAAGCCACTTCAGCCTAAGAGAGTAACGTGAGCTCAGCCTAAAGGGAGGCAGGACACGGGGTGTGAGGTGTCTGTTCGTGGTTTTATGTTGGGATAGGCGCACACAGAAGCAGCTTTCTCCCACTTACACCAACTGCTTGAGCCAGGTGACTTATCTGAAGAGATTAGCAAATTAGTCTTATCAATCTGATAGTTATGGAGTCTTTATTACTGGTTTTCAAGAAATTTATTACCAGAGTGCCTTTTAAAACTTTAAAATTTTCCCATGTGTTGAAATAGGTATGACTGGGACCTTTTATGACAGTAATGTTGTATATAATTAGTACTTTCTGGTTGTCAAATAAAACTGAATTTAAATACTTTTTCTTTCCAAATGATAAGCAAGGAGTAATTTCCATTTACTTGATTTCACACTGTGACTTTTATTTTACTTTTTAGCTGACACAGCCAGTATAAGCAGTTTGAGTCTGTCTACAGGATATACGAAGCGTATTGCATTCTTATTTGACTCTACTCTTACTGCTTTTTTAATGATGGGAAATCTTTCACCAGTAAGTCAACTTCTCGTTTAAATGTGAAGATGTGTAAAGTCAGGATTAGATGTAAACTAAGTCAATGCCTTTTTATCTTTGTCAGAGTTCTAGATTTATCTCTGAAAACACAACTGATTCTGCCTTATATTCCCTAGAGTAATGTAATAACTTTTAAATTAGAATTTCTGTTGTAATTGAAAGAATCAGCCCCTCGCCTCACCCACCCTTGAGTGTAAATATATTTGAAAACATAGTAATTATACTTAGTGTAAAGAGGGAACACTATAACTTTTTTATTTATTTATTTTTTTGCAGAACCTGAAAAGTCACGCAGTCACAATGTTTGAAGTAGGCAAACTCTCAGATGAGTCTCTGGACAGCTTTCTTGTAGAGCTCGAAAAGGTAAGTCTGGCTTGCGTGTTTGGGGACGTCAGGGCATTTGGAACCTTTTCTTGCTTCACAAAACATCAGTAATACTGTCCGATTGGTTGTGGATTTTCACTGTATCCTTTGTTTTTCCCACCTCACTCCCTACCCTAATACTGTGGACTCCCATGTAGCCGACCGTGGTTTGAGTCCTGGACCCGGTGGCTTAAATTCATGCCGGGCGTGTGTGCATGTATGTCCAAGATCCCAAGAGGAGAATGGAGGAGAGGGATTGCAGTGTGGCCATCCCCCTGGGGGTGATTTCTCACTTTCTATCTCTCTGTCTCTCTCTGTCGCTCTGGTGAGCGCATGTGCCCTATAGCAAAACCTCTCCAAAAAAAAAAAATTATTTAAAAATTAAAAAAAGATCACCTGTTAAGCAATTTTCTTTGAAGTTTTTATTCCAGTTATCCTCAGTCTGAAGCCCTTTCCTTCGGTATCGTATTTATGTCCACTCTCACTATCCCTTTTAGCATCTTGAAGACTTCAGCCATATTTGCTCTTAGCCACCTTTTCTTCCTCGTGAGTACAGTCCTAGTTTTCCTGAGCTTGAAATCTTGATTGGCCCTTATTGGTGTTTTTCACTTCCTGGATATTTTGCTCTGACCTCTTCTTTTCTTTGTATGCAAACAGCTGTGTGCCTGATGTGTTTCTTGACTAATAATTTTAGTGCCTTCTGTGCTTTAGTGATGAGCTGTGTATATTAAACATGTTCAGAGAATTTGTGATGATTCTGTAATTCCTTTGTATCTTAAAAAAAGATCTTACCATTTTTTTCACTGCTGCTTCTCTGTAGGATATCTTTCATGAGTGCAGAAATATATATGAGATAGTCATTGTTATTAGTCTCTTTTACCTTAAACTTCCATTATTCCTTCAATACTTTTTAAAATCACCTTCTTAACCCCGTTTCTTATTATATATCATCCTCGCCAATACATTTTTAAATATGTTTCTACATATCTAAGTTCTTGATTTTTATCTTCCTCACTTCAGCTTGGCTTTTAATAAGTGTAGGAGATTGCAAGATCATGTCTGTTTTTTTAGTCATTTATTCATCTATATTCTGTTTTATCATACAGTTATCCTTAGGAAAGCCTTTCAGTCTGAAATTTTAAAAATGATTTCTAAACTATTTTTTAGGTAGCCTTATCTTGATTAAGCTTAATTGGTTTATCTTGTTAATTGAAAACACATCTAATGAGTTGTTTCCTCCCTTGTAGGCCTGTCCTTCCATCTTCTGTGTTTCTGGGATCTGTGTGTTCTGACTTGTCACACACTAACTGCCTGAGTGTCAACAGAGGGTGCACTAAACTGAGGACAGCTAAGGCAGGGCTTTTTCTGCTTTGTCCATTTTTCTACCGTTATCTCCAAGAGAGGTCTCTGTGTAGGAGGCATTCCCAAGATCTTGTTGAATGATAGTCAGTTATGTGGTTAGCAGTGGTGAATAGCTGTGTTGAGTCACAAACTCCCATTGTCCCTTCTAACCGAAGATACATTGTGAACAAGGTCATGAGGATTAGGGGTCCAGTTGGAGATCATGGATTGGAGTACTTTTCCTGGATGAAGCAGAATATGGGATTTTGAGTTTTTAAAGCACCCAATAGGAATCATACATAGGACATATGACTTACATAATGATGTAGTTTAGCGTTATTTATTTGTTAAGATCATTAGTTTTACTTGTTGGAGTAATTTCTCCAACAAGGTGTATAGATGTAGTAAAGTTGGAAATTTTACCAAGATTGTGGTTAATATTTATTTCAGTGTTGCCTGAGCAAATGTTTTGAATTACGTCTTTTTAATAATGTCTTAACATCTCTATTATCATTTATTTTAGTGAATGGCATGAAAGTGGCATTTGTTGCAAAATCTATTTTCTCTTGGTTTAGGTTCAGAGCACTGGTGAAGGAGAAGCACAAAGATATTTTGATCATGCACTTACTCTGAGAAATACAATCCTGTTTCTGCGTCATAATAAAGATCTAGTTGCACAAACTGCACAACCAGACCAACCTAATTATGGTATGATAAATGTGTTTAATTGTAAAGACGTGATTGCATGACACTTCTGTGAAATTAGACAGAACATGCTCACTTATTTAATCATCACTTCTGTAATGCATTTTGTGTAGGTCGCATATTGAATTTGTTTAGAGGTTTATTTTGTGAATGTGTCTGTCACCTGTGTTTCTTTCCCCGTTTTGGATTTTCTTCTACCATGCGTCATAACATTTATAATATTTAAGTCTGTTTAGTACCTACAAGAAAAGTTGACTCTATTTAATTAGTTGGGTGGAATATAAAATAGGCATCAGTTCTGAGGGGGGCCAAATGCCAAAACTGATTTAATACAGGAAGCATAAAAGTTCAAGAATGCAAGAGTCCATCATATAAAAGTAATAATCAGGTATCTTCTATTCACATGTTACTGTAAAGTATTCTACTTTAACAAATAAAAATAATTGGGACCAGCAGTTAGTGTAATGGCTATGTCTCTGGACTCCCATGTAGTTGACTGCGGTTCAAATCCTGGACCCGGTGGCTTAAACTCATGCTGAGCGCGTGCATGAGCATGCCCAAGATCTCGAGGAGAATGGAGAATGGAGAAGGGATTGTGGCGTGGCCATCTCCCTTTGGGGATGATTTCTTGCTTTCTGTCTCTCTGTCTTTCGCGAGCATACATGCCCTATGGCAAAAACCTCTCCCCCCAAAAAAATTTTTTTTGAAAAAAAATTTAAAAATTGAGACAGAAAATCTCTTCTTAATAATAATAATAAAAAGAAGGCAGATAATGTCGTCTTAAAGAGTAACAGAAAGAAGTGGTATGAGATTTAATACAGTGGAGAGCTCTGGTGTGGCCATTATACTAGTAGTCACTCAGTTTTGTGATAGAGGGGGGTTGCAAAACTAGTTGAACTGTTGAGGAATTTCCTACTGAGGTTTCAAGATGTGGAATGACACATAAGAATGTGTCTTTTAAAAAGGATGATTTTGAGGACCATCAGGTAGCATGGTGGTTAAGGTACTGGACTCCCACATGGCTGGCGACAGTTCAAGTCTCAGACCTGGCAGCTTACTTTCTCACCTTTTCTTTGTTTCTGTCTGTCACTACTCAGATTTTAAAAACAACAACTAATAAATGGAATTTAACAAATAAATAGTCTCTTCCCCCCAAAAAATGATGATTGCGATGCTCAACTAGATCTAGGCACTGCTGGAAGAGCATTTGGCTAAAGTCACAAGAGTTGTGTCCTCAGTACAACTGTTGACACTTCATTAAAGTCATTTTTTTATTTGGCTAAAGTTTTTATTTTCTTGGTCAAAAACCATCAGTTTCTCATGTCATTTTTTTAATTTCATTTCTTTCACCAGCATCTGGCTTTTCTTTCAGCTCAAGTTTTAAAAATTCAGGAAGCAGTCAACTCTCACTTCATGAGTTGATGGTAGGTGAGAACAAATATGCAGAGTAGTTTAACGGAGTGCAGCCAGACTCTGGAGACTGCCTTTTTATAGCCTTAGCATGCCTTAGCAGATGGCTACAAATGGCCATATTTGGGACTGTTTTGAGATCACCCATAAATTTTTAAAACTCGTACTATTAAATCACAAAATGCCAAGAGTCTGAACCACTTATTGATGATGAGTTTTGATGGGTAAACATTATTTGCTGCCTAATATTAAATCATGTGATCAAGCAGTGAGTGACATAGTCTTGAAGATGTCTTTAGATATAAAACTCCTGGAATGTTGGGGACTTTTTAATGATTTATGGAGATAATGGGTCAAAATAGCTGAAATAGTCTGTTGTAGCTGTCTTGAAATACATAGTCCCTTCCTGCCCGTTAATAATCCGAGAGTATCAGAGGCCAGCAAAGTGTAATTCACTTTATAGGTATAGGAATTGAAGCTTTACTTGTCTAAATCTCCTGCCCATTTAGTCATCAAGGCCTGTGTGATTAGTATATGGATGTGCCAGAGTGGAAGACTTGAATCCAGGCCTCTCTATTTTTTTTCTATTGCTTTGTTCCTTTCATATCTTCTCTTAAACACTAAGCTTTTTAGTCATTTCACTCATACAATCTCTTGCTTAGTAGTATGGACTAAACTTTGTCTTCACCATAATCTGTGAACCACCAAGTAAATTTAATGGCTAACCTAAACTTAATCTCTTTGAAAATAATCAAGTATAACCCTAATGTTTAAAGTAGGTTTCACAGTTGTCTGTTCTGGCTCCAGTTGGAGTATTCATGACACCAGTTTGAGCTCTAATTACATAGAATAATTGCTGGGCTCCGAAGTTAAATTGTGATGAACTCCTCCCTATAAAACCAAGCTGGCAATTAGTTATGAAGTTCCATTTTTTCAGTCAGCCTTTCTTAGTTGGGACTCTTCATCTGAACTGTGGAAGGCAGGAGTTACTGGAGTGACTATTTCTCAGTTTTCTTATGAGAGTGCATCACTAGGATCATTCTCATGCATGAGAAAGGTCCTTCATTTCATATGGGACTACCCTGGGGCATGAAGTCTTCATGCCCATCCTATTGAGAAACTGGCTTTCTGTAGGGGCTGGGCTTGATAATTGAATCTTACTCTCTTTTTAGAAAATAAATTCTGGGGACCAGCAGTTAGCGTAATGGCTATGTCACTGAACTCCCATGTAACCGACTGCAGTTCGAGTCCTGGACCCGGTGGCTTAAACTCATGCCGGGTGTGTGTGCGTGCGTGCCCAAGATCCCAAGAGGAGAATGGAGGAGAAGGGATTGCAGTGTGGCCCTCCCCCTGGGGGATGATTTCTCACTTTTGTCCCTCTGTCTTTCTGGCGAGCGCACGTGCCCTTATAGCAAAAAGAAAGAAAGAAAGAAAAATTCTGAAAAGAAATTTTGTAGTATTGGTGTCATGAGCATCTTGTTTTGAGTAGAAGGATTTTTTTTTTATGTCACTAGTAATTTATAGTTTGAGTATATTGTGTAATACTTGATAGTCACTGTAAAGCAAAAAGCCCACGACATCTCCATAGAAGCAAACTCTGATGATGTGAAAAGGATTAGTTTCTTAGTAATCTCTTGGTTTTAAGTAGCATGAGGCACTGCTTAAAAACTCAAAACAATGCGTGGTCTAATTTTTTCCCATTTTATAACTAGTTTTTTCGGTACCTTGTATTTAAAAAGACATCTTTCCACTATGATCAGTGCAAGTCAGATTAAAAAAAAACCCTGCTGCTTGGGGCAGGCAGGTGGCATGGTGACTAAGGGGCTAGACTCTTATGTGGCTGATCGCAGTTCGAGTCTCAAGCCTGGCAGCCTGCTTTCTCACTCTCCCTTTTTTTCTCTCCCTCTCTGTCTCTCTTCAGTCAAATTAAAACATAATAATAGTAATAAATAAAATAATTCTTAAAAAAACCCCAAAAAGACAAAATAACACTGCTGTTTGTAATTTGGCAGGCTAGCACTGTGGAAATGTTTCAAAATTAACCCATAATTTTAGACAGCAGTCGTGTTGTAAAAATTAGAGAACATTTCTAACCACCATAAACACTTTATATTTCCTTCCCTATTCTAGTATATTTTAAATATTCTCTCCACAGTGTTGAATTTTCTTGAAGGGCAGTAAATCCCCTTACCCTTTTGTGTTTTGGAGAAAAGACTTGTACATGGACCCATTCTTCCCCAGTCTGACTTAGATTCACAGGTGTTCTTTTTTTTTTTTTTTTGCCTCGTAAAGGATCAGCTGGATTGCCTGTCTCAACTGATCAATCAGAACAACAACTTGTTAACCAAACTTTGGTTAAGCTTCTTCCTTCCTCCAGGCCCTGAATTTTGACCTACCTTCAGCTCCAGCCAGCAGGCAGCCCCTCCTTAAGGGTCCCTCTCAGATACTAAACTGACCTCAGGGTGAAACTCTCTGAGACCCACTATCCAGTACTTCACCCTTTCCTCCCATTCTGCATACCTGCTTTTCTACGTGGTTAACTTCTCTCTATAAAAGAGAAGCCTGTTTGCCTAACTCCTAGGATGTCTGTGACGTTACGATGCTACTGCACAGTCTCTCCCCGTTACAGTAGTCCCCACTCCCTAGTTTTCGTGGAAGAAGTCTTTCCTTACTAAGTCCAGATATTTTGCTGGACAGTGTTTTTTGATTCATGGCTGTTGTATATTTCTTTTTTTTTCTATTTCTTTTATATATTCAATCACATTACTTAGCTTACAAAATGACTATTCCAGCATGTGTACATTTCTCACCAGTCTAGTTCACCATTCTAGAAAATTATCTTCAATAGGTAATAATCTATTTCTTTGTCCCAGAAATGCCTTAGCCCTCTATTTTTCTCCCTAATGTCCTTCCTCAGATTCTACTCCTTCACCATTGTATAATTTCTCACTGTACATACATACATTTATTTATTTATTTGCCAGTGGGTACTTGTGCTTGATGGAGAGAGAGAGAGAGAGAGAGAGAAAACGCACCCCCCCATGGGGCATAGTCAAACTGCAACAATCCCTTCCCTATTTCTCCTGTTGGGACTTTGGGTATGCACCTGGTATGCTTTTTAAGTTGCTGAGGTCTGGGGTTGGTCTGGGACTTGGACCATGCCATCAGCCAAGTGAGATCTAACTACCTGAACCACCATGCCATGGACTGGCTTGACTTCTCTTGTTTTTTTTTTTTTTTTTTTTTTTAGATTTTTTTCCCCTCGGCGCCGGGGCCCCCC